ATTACTGCATGTCGTAAGAAGTGACTAAACAACGGCAGGAGTGTGTGTGGGAGGTGGTTCTGGTATGACAAATAGGTGGATGGTGGACGCAAAATTTGACCGTTTGTGATTTTTTGTTTTACCGTATTTCATGATTGTTTTTGGACCTTTGTTAATCCACTAGCAAAGAGGGAAGTCCAGGTAAAGCACTCTTCAGCTATGGAATCGTGAGGGGGGGGGGGGCACTTGGATAGGGGAATTAGGAAATTATTATTTTTCATTATTTCTTGGCATTTTAGCATCACAGGCATGGTCACGTGCGAGGGAGGTTGTTAAACTTCACGCTTTGTGGTGGGAAAAGACGATATGAATAGTGAAAATAAGTTTGAGGATTTTCCGGATAGATCCTCCATATCGCACCACTTGTCGGCTATCCGGGCAAAATCAGATTGTTGCAGCCCTTGCTTTTAAGTTCGAAACTTTCTAGTCTAGTAGGGGAGATCTCTGGAGCACCTTAAATACCGGAGTAGATTTTCCTTCTCACAGCTGTGATTTTCTTCTTTCATTTGAAAAGGTCGCTGGTGGCCGTCGGAGTTTGAGTTTTTATATGCTAGTTGAGTCATATTCTGCAACATTAGATTTCCATCGACACACGTAAGAATTATGGCGTCACTTGTCGCATAAACCATGCGAAACAGAGTAATTTTCTAGAAGAACGACAGTCCAGTAGAAGCATTTCGTTTGCGTTTGTTCCCTTTTAGACTGGCCTTCCAGTTTTTTAAGCAAAACTTGGCGGGAAAGAAGGAAGCGAAAAATTGGGGCTGGAGGGCGTGACCTAAACCTACGTTACAAAAAAGGAGGAGTAGGGATACTGCAATGATACCACGCATAATTTTAGTTTGCATAATAGGTATTTATTTTATGTTTATGAGAAAGGGTTATCACCTGACAGATGGTACGGAGTTTGTTTATTTTAATTGTATAAAACGTTTCAGGTGATAAAAGTTTGCAGATGTTTTCTTGGTGTACAATTTTTTTATCTTCAGAGTTTGTTAGGGTTTGGGCAAGATGGGATTGATAACATTTTTTTTACGTGAACAAGTGTTTTTGTTAGTACTAGATCTGGAGCCGAGAGGGTTTTTGCATGTCCCCACGCCGAGGTTTTGGGGGCTGATAGACAACGTTATTTCCCACTTTAAACTCCTGATATGGCACGTGTAATTTTTCCACTGTGGACATGGATCATGGGCTCCGAGCTGTTGTTTCGGGATCTTTGTTAACAATGAACTAACTGTACAACAAAGATTTCAAGATGCTATACCTGTGGGGCGTCGCCAAGTGGCCACTATAATGGGGCAAACATGTCATGTCGTTTAGGGCCGGTCCACATGATCTGCTAAGTAATCGGGACGCTGAGATTCTTTTCTATCAAGATAGGCAAAGACGTTGGGAGTAACGGGGTAGGGCATCCGATAGGTATCGGCGTACTTGCGCATTGCTCCATTACACTCAACGTAATTCTGGGCCTTAGATTTTTGGACGGCAATTGGATTTCCTACCGTTTACGGTATTAGAGTCATCGAAATCATTTGGTTTAATCATTATATTCGATGAGTTTTTGAAGTTACGTCGTCGTTGTTTGTGAAAGTAAAGTTAATAAAGTGCTTGTTATGCCTGTATCAAGTTCTCCTACCACCTATATCGTTTTTTGGAATTATTAGAAAATTGCGTATACATTTAACAAGACGGGAAAATATTAAAAACATTTTTGACTGAGAATATTGTTCAATGCGGATTGTTTACTTTATTGTACAAGAATGTTTTAACCATCGCGTGAAGACTTTCACTAGATGGTTAGTTTCCCTTTATCGTCGTGTATAATACAAAACTTTATTTATAACACATGAAAACCCTGAATTTAATTTCGACGTCAAAAATTGTATCTTTATAGGTTCTCCACTGTTCGGAACCTCATTTTATTTCGTGCTACGTGTCCCATTTTTGATAAGAATAACAGATGACTAAAATGGACAATCATTTGTTTCACTTTATCTACCTTTGCCGTTAAAGTGATCACTTTATCTTCTCTTACCGTTAATAAAATATAAGTACTTAGAACGATTAATGATGCTAATTAAACCTGAATTTTGAAAATTGTAAAGGGTTGCAGTTGGAAATGTGCACCGCATGCTTTAAGATTTTATTTTGCCTCTTATTGAAAAATAATAATTATGAAATGTGGCAACATTGCTGGGTTTCACTATATGCTGCGATTGATCGCGTACTGAAAAGTTGGCTCGCAGTAAAAACTATTTTCTCAACCTCGAGGAACAGAAGTGTGATAGATAAAAACATTTGGAAAGCACAATCATTATTTAATAAACGTCATGTAGACGTTATTTCGGTCAAAACACCAAAAATAATGACGGCCATCCTGTACGAGTATATGAGAATATTTCAATGTATTAGCTTGGGGACAATTTACGAAATAAGCATAAGAGTTGGTTCGTTTCATTTGAATTTGTATCTCAGTGTTGTTTTTTTCTATTAGAAATGTTTTAAATGCGTAATTTTACCGCTTTTGTGATTGATTCAATTTAGACAAGGTGTTAGAAGACACACACATCTGGTGCGATAAGGAGTTTTATCAAACGAAAATTGATTAACGCACATGTTATATCGCCATTACGAGAACGATGTTTCGAAGAATTGCGTGTTTCATTTTAGAGAAGTGGGGACGTTTGGCGGGACAATTGCGAACTATTAAGTAAGTACCGTATCTACAGTATCCGCAACTTTTCTTTAACCTATGGATTGCGGTCCAGTACGGTACAGCCATCACTTGATGCGACACCTTGTCTTCTTTGCTTGATCAAGAACTAGCAACTTCATACCCATATACAAAACATATTTCCAATGCTAAAAGGAAGCAGTCTAGTACAGTGGGTCCTTTTGAAGAAAAGTGAAGTTGAGAAGCTGTGAGCGTGTGTATATGAGTTAAGTGCGCTTTATATCACAAATCTTGTACAACCAGATTATTTATTTGGATTATTAAAAGACTAAGTAATTCCCTATTTTAATTGTTGACCGCTTGCGTGCGAGGTAATATGCCCGAACAAGCTTTGTAAGCGTTTCTTTCTATCAGGGATTTTGTTTTAATTTGCTTTATGTGTTTCGGAATAAATTTTTGTCATTGTCAATCAATTATGTGTTTATTGGAATCCATTGTACGACCCGGATGGAGTTTTAATTTCAGATTTTTGTCTATTCGTGCCAAGATTTTTGTTTCAGGTGTTAATTAAAAGTTGTGTTAATAAATTCTGGAATTTCGGAAGTTGATCGAGGTCACCGAATCTCTAAAGCTGAGAAATTTTAAGTCAATATTAGGATTTTTCTTCTAGCAGATATCGGATGTGGAGTGACGGCGTATAATTGCACACAATATGAATATTGTTAATATAAAAGCAACTCATTAACCAGCACCGAATTAGATGAATTATGTCTGATTTAAAGTACCAGACAGAGACAATTATTTGGAAAGAAACTGCTCTAAAACATGTTGCCGAACTAAAAAATAAAATTTGTGCAAAAGGGGAATTTGGTATACAAAAAACAATCGGCCAGTACTATCATTTTTAGGATAGTCACATCGTGCAATGAAACTGGATAAAATTTTACCTTTGATTGTACCTTTGAACGCATGAATAATGATGAAATTTGGGGTAAAATGTTTACCAAATCTGATAAAAATATGAGTAAGATTTATGCATATTTAAAATGAATTTTCTCCATGTCATATATGGGCCAATGAAAAGAATGGAATGAGGATAGAGTTGGTAAAGGATGAGTTATAAGTATGTCAAATTAAATTTTTTGATATTGAAGGAGAGAACCAGCAGGGGTACGGCAATCGTAATCAGGAAGTACCGAGGCATTGAGGTGGAAAAATTTGAAGAAAAAAGCGAGAGCATATCCATGGCCCAAATCAAGACGAACATAGGAAGACACATAGGGTGCCACATCCCCTCGGACAAAAGAGGGCAGGCGGAACTTAGAAAGCTAAGTGAAGCAATAGAACGAAAGTGCGGAAAGAACCCGGGTATCATACTAGGCGACTTCAATGCGCAACTAGGCAGACTGGATGGAAGTGAAGACGAGGAACACTGTATAGGCAAAACTATCAAGCACGAGCATGACAATGGGAACGGCAAGCAGCGAGCTTAGGAACATGGTACACCTACATGGACTGAGGGTGGAAAACACATTCAGCAATTCCAAAACGGTGCTGACAACATTGAGGACGGGAAACTCTGAATCGCAGATTGACCACATAATAAGGACGAAATCAAAAGAAATAAGAATCACGAGCACAGTAGGCATATGGGCAAAAACAGTAGGATCGGACCCCAAAATGGTAAGGAGGAAAGTAA